TCTTTTGGTGCAAAATCCTCAAATTACCCAACAAGAGCTTGCGACAACTTTAAATTGTTCACAAAAAACAATTTCCAATCAATTGCGTGCACTTGGCAAAGTCCAAAAGTTTGGAAAATGGGTTCCTCATGAGTTGACCGACAACAACTGTAATCAAAGAGTCACAATTTGCAGTTCGCTCCTCTCTCGTCAAAACCGTTTGCCGTTTTTAGAGCAAATTGTTACCGGAGATGAAGTATGGGTGCTGTATGTTAATTTGAAAAGGCGGCCTCAATGGTTGGACAAAAATGAGGCTCCGCAGCCCACGCCAAAACCTGACTTGCATGCGAAAAAAGTGATGTGTGTTTGGTGGAATTTTAAAGGAATTCTTCATTATGAACTTTTACCATCTAACCAAACCATTACAAGTGCAGTGTATAGTGCCCAATTGGAAAGGTTAGCCCAAGCTTTAAGAGAAAAAGAACCCGCGCTGATTAATCGGAAGGGCGGAATTCTTCACCACGATAACGCACGACCGCATACTGCAAGAATCACTGCTGAAAAACTGCGCCAGTTGGAATGGGAAGTTCTCCCTCAACCTGCATATTCTCCTGATATTGCCCCTTCCGATTACCATTTGTTTCGTTCTTTGCAAAACTTTCTTCTTGGAAAAAAATTTAATAATGAAGAATGCCTCAAAATGCATTGACTGAATTTTTTGCATCAAAATCACAAGAATTTTACAACAGAGGGATTAAAATGCTTCCTGAGCGTTGGGCACAAGTAGTAGAAAACAAAATTTTGATTAAATTTTGTTGTATTGTTTAAATAAATTCGATTTAAATAAGTATTAGAAAACGACGTTAATTATTACTAGACCTAATACAAATGTTCCTCATTTTTTCCCCCTCCATTGCTCCCCTCCACCAGGTTCTCACCCCACCTGCCCTTTCCCCACGCCCCATTGTCCTCATTCATAGGTGTACAGTTTTTGTTCAGTCTCTTCTCACACCCCCCACTCCCCTTTTCCCTGAGAATTGTCAGTCCACTCTCCTTCCATACCTCTGATTCTGTTGTTCATCAGGTTTTTTAATCTCCTTGGCTTTTAGTTTCACTTGTTGATAGTTACGTATTTGTTGATCATAATTTTTTTTTTTTAATGTATTTTATTGATTTTTTTACAGAGAGGAAGGGAGAGAGATAGAGAGTTAGAAATGTCGATGAGAGAGAAACATCGACCAGCTGCCTCTTGCACACCCCCTACTGGGGATGTGCCCGCAACCAACGTACATGCCCTTGACCGGAATCGAACCTGGGACCTTTCAGTCCGCAGACCGACGCTCTACAGCTGAGCCAAACCAGTTTCGGCGTATTTGTTGATCATAATTTTTATCTATATCTTCTTCCTCTTCCTAAAGAACCCCTTTCAGCAATTCATATAATTTTGGTTTGGTGGTGATGAACTCCTTTAGCTTTTTTTTATTTGTGAAGCTCTTTATCTGGCCTTTGATTCTGAGTGATAGCTTTGCTGGGTAGAGTTCTGTTTCTGACTAATTAGATCAGGCAAGAAATCAAAGCCTCCAGAAACTGCCTCTGTCTATAGACTGGATTCCATCTTGAGTAGCCCTGAAGCACACATCCACAGGTGTGGCTAGAGTTTTTCAAACAGGGTGGGGCAGTTTCTTCTGCCTAGAGTAGGGGTGTAGAACTCAATCAGAGAAGGGGCCAAAATCTAAAATCCAGCCTAAATCGCGGGCCGAATGATTTACTGAACAGTCATAAACTGTCATTGTGATGGAAACGCAGCAGAGTGCAGTGATGACAGCGCAGTGCGGGCCACATTGCAAGGCCTGGCGGATGGATTTGGCCCGAGGGCCTTGTGTTTGACACATGTGGCCTAGAGGCTAATTGTTATCTCTTGTCTCTTAATGGGCTTTGTTAACATATTGTGGGGCAATTTATTTTTAAATAGGGTGGGTCAATTTTCTCCTGAGCCACATGCAGCTCCTTGGCCCCTTGAGTCTGTCTCTCCCACAAAATACTATGGCCTGGGCAAGTCCAATTTTGAAGAAGTGGTGTTAGAAGAAGTTTAAGTTTAAAAAATTTGGCTCTCAAAAGAAATTTCAATTGTGTACTGCTGATAGTTGGCTCTGGTGACTAATGATTTTTTTGACCACTGTCCTAGGCAAAAATCACCTGTATAGCAAATGTCTGCCTCAGAAAGATGATCTTCAGAGTATGAGGGAATGTTCTCAGCACAGGAATTGGGGTGTCTGTCTTTTGAGCTCTAACCCCAGAGCCCCAGCCCTGGCTTCTGCTCATACAGCCCCTATCCATTCTGCCCTCCCTTCGTTAGAGCACAAGGTGAATGGCTGTACATGGAATTTTGTATGTTGCCTTTTAAGAGGATGCCTGCCTTCCAGCCATTTCTCCCTGTCAGGCAACAACCCTGCTGCTTTTCATAGCCAGAATTATGTCAGCACTTTCTCAGTTCTGGCCCTCTCTGCTGGGGGCCCCACACTTGGGGATTACATACCAGAGTTCTCAATGGCCAACCCCCACAGCTGAGATATCTCTTCTGAACTTTAATTGCTGTCTGTGGTAGCCTGGCCACCCTTTTGCACCTCTGTCCTTCCTATCAGTCTCTATGTGATCTCCATTTTTCATCCTTGGTTATCAATATTCTCTCCAGCTAGTCTTCAGTTGATTATTCAGGATGTTTTTTTGTATTTTTGTTGTAATTCTGATTTGGTCCTGGAAGTGTGTCAGTGTAGCATCCACTTACTTCACTGTCATTTTTAATCTCTTCCTTACAGTATATCTTGATAGTAAGTGAAAATGTTTTGCGATATAACAGACAAGCATTAACAGGACATGTTTATAGAACATTAGATTTAGAGCACAGGCCTATAATGTTAACATTAGAAAATTCTGGGATCTATTTTTTTTCTGTGGTTACACACATGGGAACTTTCCAGTATAGTTTCTGAATTTCTTGTTCATTGGGTCTTCCTGCTTTTGTTCATTTAGCTTACTTCTTTTTTTTTTTTTTTTTTAATATGTTTTATTCATTTTTTACAGAAAGAGAGGGATAGAGAGTTAGAAACATCGATGAGAGAGAGACATCGATCAGCTGCCTCTTACACACCCCCCACTGGGGATATGCCGGCAACCAAGGTACATGCCCTTGACTGGAATCGAACCCGGGACCTTTCAGTCTGCAGGCCAACGCTCTATCCTTTTAGCCAAACCGGTTTCGGCAAGCTTACTTCTTGTTACCTACCAGTTCCATTCATTTCTGATCAGCTCTGGGACTTGTCTCACAGAACAATGTTTATCTAATTTAGGCTGTAATTATTAATATTAAAGGAGAAATAACAATATAAGAAATGTAAGCTTTGCTATTGCTGATATATTAAGATGCTGTGATGGGTTGAATTTAGGATATGCAGTAGTCTGGTTTCTAGACCCTAATGGTGTTAATTTATAGCAGTTTGGTGGTGGTGATAGTGGGGGGGAGGGGGCGGGTAGGGAGGTATGCCCAGGATCATCACCTCATGGACAGGCTCTTGAACCTAATAGTGGCACTGCTGTCAGGACATCTCAGCTTTGGCTTGGGTGGTTCCACAGGTCTTTTGCCAAGAACAATGACACTACTTACAGAGCTGATCTCATGCGAAAGAGATGGTATCAAATAGAGCGGCTCAGTCTCTGCTTTTCTCTTTTTTACACTGCTGACCCCATCAGTCACGTCAGTATTTTATGTACAGACATAAAAAATGCATATCATTATTTTGTCATCCGAATTCTGTTGGAATTGATTGAAATAAAAAGTTATTTTTATTCTAGCAGTCTTAGTAGTTTTTGGAGAATATTTAGATTATTGGGAGAAATTCCTGATGTTATCTCCTGTTTGTTTTTATTTCTGGTGAAGCTTTATAGAATGTCTTGGATGTGAGTGTCCTAAGCTTCTCTATATGGTGGGAAAAGTCAATCTATTTTTTTTTTTAAATCAAATTGAGAATTTTTGTTTTGCATTTAAACCTTGAGTTATGAAGTACCTGGCTTCACTACCTATAAAAATCACCCAGCAGTAGGTAACAAAGTAGTGTAGCTGGCACCATGTTATCCGAGTAGCACAGGAATACAATGAAGAAATCACTCATACTACTACTAAGTGCATAGACTGAGGATATTTTCTAGTGCAGGATTTTGGTGTTGTGCAAAATTTGCTCACACAACACAAATAGTATGCCAACTCTCATCAGTTTTATTTCATGAGTACTTACTAATTTTTATAATAGTAATTATTACAGTAACTACCACATGTTGATAACAAGGGTGAATAAGGGATATAAGTTATGTGCATTCTCCACCTTTCCCCTGACAACATACATATTCTTGAAGTTGTGTTGTCTCTTCCTACACCCACTTCCCCACCCCCAGTTATGTATGCAGTGAAGAAGATAGAGAACAGAGAGGAAGCTAAAACTCCTTTGAATTCCTTTACCAGTTTTCCATTCCAAATCTCACAGATAATGTAGAGTACAGGGCTGTATCATTTGCCTTTGATGTAACAAATTCACAAAAGCATATAGGGAGAAAGGAGTGTATTTTTACCATTGATGGCTTCAGTTTCTCCATAGGACAGTAGTTTGTTTGGAATATACTACCTGAGGTATTACCATTATTTTAATGCTGATTTTGCATGTAAAATATTCAGTAAGTAACATGTTTTTAGGATGGAGAACAGTAAATATTGATTGGCTGATTTCCCCTATCCAGTCTAAAAGCTTCTTTTAATTATATTGACATTGTTTTGACCAAATGTGTGAAATAGATTTAAAAATGAAAAAAATTATTCCTTAAATTATTGGAAATTATATATAAGAAAATGAGATGTGTTCAGTGGATTTAATTGTAATATCCAAATGCTTTAAAAAAAAAATCTTCCTTGGTTTTAACATTATAATTTGGCAACTCTTAATATTTTTAATGTATTAATTCTCTTTTTTTTCCAGGGGCCACATTATCTTAGTTCCAGAATTTAGTCTTCCTCTGGAATACTACCTAATTCCCTTCCTTATCATAGTGGGCATCTGTCTCATCTTGATTGTCATTTTCATGGTAGGTAAATTTATTTTTTAAGTGCTTTTTAAAAAATAGTATAGATGGTCTAAAAAGCATTATATTGAGTAATAGAAGCCTTGCTTTAAAAAGTATATATTGTGTGAGTCTATTTGTATAACTTGTTCTGGAAAAGGAAAGATAATTTGAGTAGAAAAAATCAGAACAGTGATTGCTTCTGGAGGGTTAGGTAGGGGCGAGGGATTTACTGGGACACCTATGAAGGACTGTTTGGCCTGTGAGTCATGTTCTGATTCTCGAGAGAAGTTTGGGTTGTACTAATGCCTAATTCACCAAATTATACAGTTAAATTTTGTGCATTTCAATGTATGTAAATTTTACCTCAAAAGAAAAGAGAATTTTTTTAGAAAAATTAAATTCTAAGTAATGATATACATGGTGAAGTAATTTGGGGGAAGTATACTGATACCTGCAACCTACTTTGTAAAAAAATAATAGAAATATTTTTATTTATGTTTCCTAGGTTTCTCCAATGTAAAGTTATTATTTTTTCTCTTTATTCTGTTTTCCTTTGGAAATGAGGCACAAAGTGTACCCCAACCCTAATGGTGGAAAAGGGCAGGAATTAGGCTTCATTTCATGAGGATTATAGGGTGTATCTACATGTACTAGTATTACTTAGAATTCTTTTGTAAGGAAGATCTGTCTCTTTTGAGTTATTTATTTATTCACTCATTTACATTAATAAGTACTCATGTATGTTTATTTTACACTTTGATTAAAATACTATATTATTTATTTTTTGTAAATTATTTGAACTTTGGCCATTGGGAACTGTGTTAGGCTTACTTCTGTGTGCCTTTGATTTGACCCCCCCTTTTATATATATATATATATATATATATATATATATATATATATATATATAATAAATTATTGGAATATATATATATATATTATAAATTATTGGAATATATATATATATATATATATATATATATATATATTTCTTTACTGTCTAATACTATAAGAAGCTTAAGGCTCATCTTACCTTTTTTTCTTTTTTAAACAAAATATATTTTATTGATTTCTTACAGAAAGGAAGGGAGAGCGATAGTGAGTTAGAAACACTGATCAGTTGCCTCCTGCATCCCCCCTACTGGGGATGTGCCCGCAACCAAGGTACATGCCCTTGACCGGAATGAACCTGGGACCTTTCAGTTCGCAGGCCGATGTTCTATCCACTGAGCCAAACTGGTTTCGGCACATCTTACCTTTTTCTTATCCCAGCCCTAGAATCAGACATTTATCCAAGGAGGCTTAGTTTCTTTTATTGAAGAGTTTTATTTAGAAACTGTGATTTGGACAATGGCCATTACTGATTTTAATACAGTAATTTTATATCTGTAAATTTACTGAATTCTACTATTCTGATAATTTGAATTTATTGATTCTGTTAGGTTTTCAGTGTAGAAACAAGTATAGAATGTTAGAACAACAGCAAATAAAAAATACTCTTGGTAAACTGAGAATAGAAGTACATATCTAAAGCTAATAAAGATTATTGACTAAAAACTGTAAATAAACATCACTAAATGGTGAATTATTAGAAACCTTCTCTTGAAACTCAGGAACAAAAAAGGATGACTGTTATACCTTCTGTTAACATTGCATTTTATTTTCTGGCAAAACATGAAAAAAACACATTGTAAGGATTAAAAATAAACCAAAATTTTATTTGCCTTTTAAGAAAATAATGGGTGCTGAATTATGTCTCCTGTCTGTTGTAATAATCATTGGTTTTTTTTCTTTATTAACACCTTGCTGACTGGTCACAAGTTAATTTGTTTTTTCCACTTACATTAATGTAAGTAATTTTAAGATGTGAAAGCAATGTAGATTTGTAAAAAGAGTACTCTAGACTATTTTCAAATAAGATTTACCCTCCAGATTATCAGGAAAATTAAAAAGTCATGTTTTTTTTTTTAAAAAAAAGAACAGTAATCAGTAGTAAAAATATTCCACTTGGGTGTGTAAAGTATGTTATTGGAAAGAATAGTAAAATACGATGTGTATGTCAAACTTGTTTAGTATCAATGCATAAAGATACATGTTATATATCACACTAAAAAATATTAAAAAGAATAAAGTATTAAAAATATTAAAATATATGCAATATGTTTAATTTTGACATATAGTAATATAAATGTAAGATGTGACAAAATAAGTACATTTAAGTTTATTTAGATTCTTTCATTTAATATTCAAGTATGGAAAAGTAGCTGGTGCATGAGTGAGTTCTGGCTTAAAATAGCTGGTCAGCAAGGTGTTAAGTTGGATTATATGAATGTGTTTTATAAATTTTAAAAATCCTGTACTTTTGGGATAAACAATTTGATCATGATATGTAAATTTTGTCTTTGCATTTCAATTATTCACATTTCTAATATGGGTTAGTCAGTTTTACATTTGTACATAGATGTGAAAATCCTAAATAAAGCATTAGCCATCAGAATGTCTTAGTGTAAGATAAAGTTTTAGTTTTATCAAGCTAGAAGAATCTTGGCATCAGAACTAGACAATCCCTTGAGTACTGTTGATAGGAATGTTAAATTGAAAAGCCACTACAGCAATTCTTCAAAAATTTAAATATACGTTATCTTATGATCCAGCAATTCCACTTTTGGAAATATACCCAAAAGAATTCAAAGTAAGGAGTTGAAACTATGTTCAATAGGCAATCCGATTGTTCATCAATGGGTGAATAAACAAAATGTGGTATGTCCATACAATGGAATATTATTCATTCTTAAGGAAGGAAATTCTGACACATGCTACAACATGGATGAACCTAAAGGTCATTATGCCAAGAGTATAAGCCAGTAACAAGGGGACAAATATTGTCTGATTCTATATATGGTACCTAGGTAGTCAGGTTCACAGACCGAAAGTAGAATGGTGGTTCCTGGGAGCTATAGGAAGGGGAGAATGGGGAATTAATGTTTAATTGATATAAGAGTTTTAGTTTTGCAAGATGAAAATAGTTTTATGGATGGATAGTGGTGATTGTAGCACAGTTTGAGTATACTTAATGCCATAGAACTGTACACTTAAAAATGGATGGAATAGTAAATTTTATGTATATTTTACTGTGTTTTAAATAACATAAAAATAACTGGACTTAAAATTAACCCTATAAAATTAAAGCTTTCTCTTATTTTCCATTTTCTAAAGTAAATTTTTCTGAAATTGGAATGATCTGTTACTTGATTTTTTTGTGAATGTTGCCAATAAAATCATCTAGACTCTACTCTGACCTTTTTCATAGTTACCTGGACATTTAGATGGTTGTCTACTTGTTTTTTATTTTTAATTTAATAAATCTTTACTGCTCAGATTATTACAATTGTTTCTCTACCCCCCCCCCACCCCCCGCATAGCTCCCTTCCACCCGGTTCCCACCCTACTTTCTGCCCTTTTTTACCCCCCCCCCCAATTGTCTTCACCCATAGGTGTATGATTTTAATCCATTCTCTTCCAGTACCCCCCATACCCTGATAATTATCAATTATCCTTTTCTTTGCCCCTGATTCTATTATATTCACCAGTTTATTCTGTTCCTCAGATTTTTAGTTCACTTGATTTTTAGATTCACTTGTTCATATATATGTATTTATTGATCAAAATTTTTATCTTTTTTCTTCTTCTTCCTCTTCTTAAAGAATACCTTTCAGCATTTTATATAATACTGGTTTAGTGGTGATGAACTCCTTTAGCTTTTTCTTATCTGTGAAGCTCTTTATCTGCCCTTCAATTCTGAATGATAACTTTGCTGGGTAGAGTAATCTTGATTGTAGGTTCCTGCTATTCATCACTTTAAATATCTCTTGCCACTCCCATCCCTCTGCATTGTTTCTGTTGAGACATCAGCTGATAATTGTATGAGTGCTCCCTTATAGGTAACTCACTGTTTTTCTCTTGCTGCTTGTAAGATTCTCTCTTTGTATTTTGCCCTTGGCATTTTAATTATGAAGTGTCTCAGTGTGGTCCTTTTTGGATTCCTTTTGTTTAGGGTTCTATGTGCTTCCTAGACTTATAAGTCTATTTCTTTCACCAGGTGGGGGAAGTTTTCTGACATTATTTCTTCAAATAGGTTTTCAGTATCTCTCTCTCTTCTTCTGGTACCCCCATAATTCTGATGTTGGTACACTTGAAGTTGTCCCAGAGGCTCCTTACACTATCTTCAACTTTTTGGATTTTCTTCTCTTCTTCTCCAGAGGAGTGTCCTTTGCTTCTTTGTATTCCAAATCTTTGACTTGATTCTTGCATTTCTCTAGTCTGCTCTTGGGGCTCTGTATAATACTTTTTATTTCTGTCAGTGTATGTTTAATTTTTAGTTGGTCCTTTTTCATATTCTCGGGGGTCTCATTAAATTTATCGGCCTTTTCTATGAAATTCTTGAAAACCTTATAACCATGCTTTTGAACTCTCTATCCAGTCTTTTGTTCTCCTCCATTTCTTTCGTTTGCGATCTGTTTCCTTGTCTCGGCATTTTCACTGCTTCCCTGAGTTAGTAGGGTGGGTTTGTATGTTGGTGTCCTATATGGCCCGGTGGGTCAGTCTCCCCAGTTACCTGAGGTAGACACTCTTGGTGCTCCCCTTTGTGGGCTGTGTGTACAGCCTTATTGTAGTTAAGTCTTGATTGTTGTTGGTATCAGTGGGAGGAATTGACCTCCTGGCCAATTGGATGTGAGTATCAGCTGTGTCTACACCAGGATACCTTTGGTATTGGAGACAGCCTTATAGTATACTGGAGACAGCCTTAATAGGACCAGACTTGCAAAATTGCAAAAGCCTCTGTGCTCAGCTTGGATGGGGTGGAGTCTCGGGGCTGAGTCAATAGTCTTGGCTTCCAGTCAGTCCTGCCCTTGTGCGCGCACTTCAGACCTCTGCCTTGCATGGCTCCCCTGAGTTTCCGCCTGACAGTCCAGATCCCCCCTGCAAGAGCATGGGTACCCCAGGGGCTTGCCAGGAATTGG